TACTCCATTACCTGGAAACACTACAGCCCCATCAACTTCTCGAGCAGATGGTCTGTACTGCATTTAAAGCTGCGGCCGACACACTAAACATGACCAATCATGGCGGCTTGAAGCAGATGACAACAAAAATGGAGCAGCTCTACAATACAATGTCATCAACGTTGAAGCCTTTACAAAGTGAATATCGTTTTCCCTCTAGTAGCTTTCCATGCCCAATTTCTGTTGCAATTCATAATCACTCCACCACTTAGTGTTTGAAAAGTATACGATTTTCCACTTGTGTTTGCAGCAAACCGGCTATCCAAAGGCAGTGACACCATTGAAGACCTCAAGCGGCTGTCTACAGTCTTTGAACACGTTGAAAAACTACTAACTCTTGCAGCTTCCCTCCATCGCAAATTTTCAAATGCGCCACGTCTCTCTGAATCAATTTTCGCGGACTACTACGAGTTTTACCTTCCCAAAATGGGGACCGGGGCAGGCTCGGGCGATATCAAGCACCAGGTAAAGAACACTTAAACCTTACAAGCCATGCATCAGCAAGTTAACTTCATTACAAAATGATTTAAATAGAGAAAGAAAATATAAAATCGAAGCCTTGCAAGGAGATGGTTGTTTGATTCTACTGGTAAGGTTGGTTGTTTTGATTAAACTGGGCACCAGCAGAAGCAAACCAGTTGAACCAAATGAAGATTATATCGTACCTTGCGAACCAAGTAACTTACTCTACGTTGCAAATTGCACTGCTTTACACTGCAGGAGTTTGACAAGAAGCAGCAAGTAAAGATGAAGGAAAGAGAGGTAGTATCAAATCTGTTCAAGCCACCAACGGCAAACCAGAAGTGGAGGAAAGTGATAAGCATGGGCAATCTACTCAATGGCCACGAGCCAACGATGAGGGAAATCGTATTTACAACGCACGAAGCCATTACTCCTGCAGCCACGAGTCGCCTCGAGGTGAGGAACGCCGGCAAGGGTTCGGAACTGGGAATGGAGACGTATCGCATGTACATAGCTGGAACTTCTAACGATCTTCGCGTAGCCCTTTCGGTGACTTCATGCGATTGATTAGTACACATGTTCTTGAAATGTATAGAATCAAGTTGCTCAATTGGTATAGTCGAACTGTTCTTTGAACTCCCCTTGGACTAATAATTTGACCGTAGAATCATCAAAATTCATTTGATAATACAATTCATTTTATATCGTATGCAAGACACGTAGGCTCTGTTTAGTACGGTTCTATTGATGTTGTGGTTGCAGACTTGCAGTGCTGTTGTGAGTTGTGACAACAAAGAAATAATCACAACAGCATGACAATGAAAAGCATGAATGCGTTTAGTTGATAATTCTGATAAAACATGAAGGTAATAAATAAAAGAGATAGGCGAACTCTTAAAATGCTATTTAAACTCACTTAATTTTACAACTTAACCAAGATCTTCAGTGTTCATTAGTTGATGTGTTATGATCGGTGAATATGTCACTGTCTGTTTATTGCCTATGACTTAATTAATTATCTTGCAACATAGAAAAGGAAACCACAGTTGTATCGGCTCGAAAAGTCACCTGATTAGTTGGCTTACAATACAAAGGGCAAGCATCATTTATGGTTAGTGGTTACCCAAATTTGGATGGAAAGGGAAATTCCCATTCCAAGATAATGGATATACCCCACTGTGGGAATCCTATGCAGAAAGATTTCACAATACCCAAAAGATCCACAACCAAAAGAAAAGGTCGCAATGCTAATGGTGATACCATGACCAGTGGAAAACAATATTATCATTTGCCCTTAGATATATGATTCGATTTTGGTTTGAAAATAGAATATGTTTAATATAAAATAATCCGTTTAATACACTATGCGTACATATTTTATCTGTTTAAAACTTCTGTATCCATATTATTGTCAAGCCATTTCATTTTTAACCGTTCATTTGATGGTTCCCGTACTAAACACGTTTAATATTCATACTTAATGACTTAAATGGTCAACTTTACCATTATTTATATATTTATTAATTTATAAAATAATTTATTTTTATATATTTATGACTATTAACGTACTATGAAACGTAACATTAGCTTAGAGGCAAATTAAAATACCCATACATATTTAATACGTAACTTTTCCGTACCGTATTTTACTAACTATGTTTAATATAGACACGTAATTAGTTATGTGCCAACGAATTTCCTGTTAGGTTTGTCTTTCAAATTATCGAAACTTTCAGTTCCATGTTTGGTATTTTCAGCCAAAAAACGATTGAATCTCACTTAAATCATAATTTTAGTACAAAATACATTATTATTGATTTTTCCGGTTGCCTTCCACATAACAGATTTGCCCTTGCATGACCTCCACCGCCGGCGATGACACATCACCGGCGGCGGGCCGGTGAGTATGGCTCAAGTTAGGGTGCATAACCCATGGTTATGCACCCATCAATAACCAAATCTGGACCCTTCATTTAGAAAATCCATATCTAAGGATGGAGAATTAAATGCTATTTTTATTTTCACTAGCTTTCTTAATTGACTCATATCTTTTTCGTTTTAACTAGGATTTTAATTTTTTTTTTTGCACAGTTGGAACGAGTTCATCGTGCTCTACAAAATGAGATCAATTTTCAATATTTTTTTAGGAAAAAAAAATTCTGGCCTCTCGGTACCAACTGCATACCATATGGTATCTTCTTCGTTTTTAATTCGTTTTTGAAAACGTTTGCACAGCAGGGACGAGTTCATCATGATCTATTGGATCTATAAATTTCTGGGTGAACAAATTACAAGACAAAAAAATACCACACAATACCACCCTGGTACGGGGGGTGGTATCTTATGGTATCTTATGGTATACAATGTTAAAAGTCGTAAATGACAATTAATATACTTCTACTATCATGTATTCAACCATCCTACAGTTTTGGTTTGTGTCATACCACCATGGTACGCTTTTCAAACCATAGGTATGCTCTTATTTCAATACCAGTCAATACCATATGGTATAGACTGGTAAAAAATGGCTCAATTTTTTTTGTTCGAAAAATATATCAAAGTGGATATCATTTTGAAGAGCACAATTAATCTGATCTAACTGTACAAAAAAATTAAATTTTGAATTAAAACGAGTGAGAAATCGTTCGTCAAAGATTAAGGAGGGGAAAATTAAAGTCTTTCCAGGAAAGAGAGGATGTTGATGTCATGCTGATGTGTGCAGGTTACTCATAGTTACTCACCATAAGGTTACTGACATGATCCGTTCCCGGTGAGTACGGGCCTTGAGATTTGCCGACCCTCGTACTTTGACCGAGGAAAGACCGAACCTCCCCGCCATTAAGTTTTGCCCATCCGGTCTTCCCGTATCCTCCACCGGCCACCATCGCTCCCTGCCGGGGCCCTACTAATTACCGGCGCCCATCAATTTCTTTTTATAAGACAAAACCCAATACGCATCTGTTGACAAGCGTGATCGCCACGCTTTAATTTTCTTCCATTCGAATGATTAAACAATAATTCTATATCTATCGCCACCATCAATTACAGAGCTAGGCTGTTTTATTTGGCTGAGGATGTATTCTTACCAATAAAGTTTTACCTGGTCTAGTGTGAAATGGTGAAACCCCCGATTATGATAGATGTAGATTTGGTGAGCGGGATCTTAGATATCTGGCTTTGCTAGCTAAGTTGGCGTAGAAATTCAGGTGGAGAAGAAGGCTTGGTGTTTGGAGAGGCTTTGATGCAATTATATCATCATTAATGTATCGAATTCGATCAAAATTATGGAGTTAAATATGTTTAGGCAGGAGCAGTATTAAAATAGGTGACATCTTTAGAAGTCTTTGAGCTACACATGAGTTTTTTCTTGAAGTTTAGTTTGTAGATCATGGAAGTCGCTGATGCATTCCATTTTCGGCACAAATTTTTGGGTTCTTAATTTTCAAAAGTTTTAGTTGAGGAATTTTACAATACTTCAAAGTATTGATGTTTTAACTTTTAACTTTAATTTTATGGTACAAATTTAATTTATAATAATATTTTTTGGTATAAATTCATTCATTTTCGTCAAATTCTATATGGTACAAATTGAATTTATACTTTTAACTTGTACCTGAAAGAACCATCACTTCAGAACATAGTAAATCGACTCTTGCAACTATTTTTCAAAAACTAAGTTTGTTAGTTTCGGATTGTAGGTGTTCTCGAAAAGTTCCTTCCACACATGTTCTCAAACCTCACAAAAGGGTAATAAGATATTTAAGACTAGTTGCAAGTTGCAAAGGAGTCTCTTAAAAGTCCGCCTCGTTTGATCGAGCATGCGTCTCTTAATTAGCACATAAGGTCCTTTCATCTTTGTTTTGCGGATTATTTAGAAGTACTACATACGATCCATAAAAAATAAAGAGTGATTTTCCCCCTTTTTATCCTTCTTTTGATATTTCAATAAACTCTAACACGAATCAAAATTTACCTCACGAGTTATCGTCAAATCCATATAGAAACAGGGAGAATTTAGTTACATATATACTTACATTCATTATAGTTATACAATGGGGAGCTTACTCCAACAAAACTAGTTATATATAGCTACTTAAGTTCTCATAGGCCGCAAGGTCTCACATCATACGTATATACACGAACAAAAGAGTACCTATATATATTTATTATATATAATTTACAATTTCTTCTATTTTCTCCCCTTCAAAGAAATCAATAATTATTAAAAAAATATTGGTGGGCATATCATACATCAATACCATTCATCCATTACTTCTCTTTTACGTCCCATCAATCAAACCCCTCATTTCTTCATTTCCCTTCTTTTTATTTCCCCCCCTTCCTTTCTCCTTCCCTCCGGTTCCTCTTCCCTTCTTCTTCTTCCTCCTCCTTTCCTCACCTTCACGAAATCACAAAAATACTCGGGAAAGCGAAATTCAACTCTTAGTTACTACGTAGAAGAAGAAGTAAAAATATCAGATCACTCCACAACCCGCCACATGGAGCCCACGTCAGCTCCTCCCGATCCGACCACAGCCAAGGGAGGAGAACGAGAAGGAGAACGAGGAGGAGGAGGAGGAGGATCATCATCCACCACAACGACGTCGTACCAGCACCACGCGCCAGCTACAACCACAACACCTCCACCGCCGCCGCTGAGCCGGTACGAGTCGCAGAAGAGGCGGGACTGGAACACCTTCCTCCAGTACCTGAAAAACCACAAGCCACCCTTGACCTTGGGCCGATGCAGCGGGGCCCACGTCATCGAGTTCCTCAAGTACCTGGACCAGTTCGGGAAGACCAAAGTCCACGCCACGGGCTGCCCGTACTTCGGCCACCCGAGCCCTCCGGCCCCTTGCGCCTGCCCGCTCAGGCAGGCCTGGGGCAGCCTCGACGCCCTCATAGGCCGGCTCCGGGCCGCGTACGAGGAGAACGGGGGCCGGCCCGAGTCCAACCCGTTTGGGGCCCGGGCCGTCAGGATTTACTTGAGGGAGGTCAGGGAAGGGCAGGCCAAAGCCCGCGGGATTCCGTACGAGAAGAAGAAGCGGAAACGACCTTCCGCTGCTGCTTCTGGTTCTACGAGTAGTGGTGTGAATGTGTCGGTGGCGGATACTCAGACCGTGCTGCCGACGTCGGGAGGTGAGTCTACGTCTCTGCCAGCTGACGGTGGTGGTGGTGGTGGGGACAGTGGTAGTAGTAGTAGAGTTGCTTCTGGAAGTGGAAGGACGACTAACGTCGTCACTAGCGCCGTTGCGTCTACGACAGTATAGGTTCTTTTTTTATTTCTTTTAGTTATTGTTATTATTTGTTAATTCTAAATATATATCCTTCATTGTGATTATGAGCTCTATATTATTATATTAATACTAGTGTAGTGTATAATAAACTATTAAGGGTGGGACTTCCTAAAAAAATATATAAGATGCCAAAAATTGAAGAAATTTATAAATACCATCTAGCAAATAAATCAGGTTAAGTTCTAATGCGTCGTTAAATCGTACGTTCTACGATTTAAATATGTACTCCATTTTTTTTACAGAGTATATGTTTTCCAAGTTTTCAATTGCTAAGGATCATGCTAGATTGTGGTTCTCTCATTTGCCTTGAATTTTTTTCTTTTGGTAAACTCATTTGTCTTAAAATTAATTATAAAATGAGAAAAAAAGGAGCTATGTAATTACTTTTGATATTGCACTCACAGGTTTATTAGGGACAAATCAAGCTACATTTGGAAAATTTGAGTACGAATTAACACACATGTTTGGTGGTAATTAGTAAATATTTTTTTTGTAATGAATGATTAGTCTATAATTGTTCCTTCCGCTATGTATTGTTCTTGGCATGATAATTGTGAGTGCATACAGACAGAGGATTGTTCTGGATCTTCGACAAAAAAATGTAGCATTTGTTTATTAATTAATTTTATGGTGTCGATTTTAATCTCATCAAACAAACGCAGGTTTTAAATTAAGTGAAGGTTTCTGATGCCAATTTAAATCGGATCCATCATCATCAACACTTTGGATTATTCAGTTCATAAGTTGTTAAAATGACAATATAAAAAAAACTCATATAGTTAAGGTAGTCGAGTCCAAACAATGAAATTGTTATATAATTTAGTGTACATCAGCACACCAAGTATATCCCCAAGACAATAATGTCACATTCCATTCACACATCTATAAATCGTTTGGATGAGAGAATTGCCACAAGAATTGCAGAAAAGCGAGGATTTTGAGTTTGAATTTTAATATTTTGGCACAAAACATCGGAATTGTATAAAAATAGTGAAGGAGTAATAAGTTTTTCAACTCCCACAAATATTACATTTCAAGAATTTGCGCATGTCAAGTGTCATATATTCATTTCAAGGTATGTCAAATGCAAATTTTTTAGCTAATCAAAATATGCATATGTGAAATTTGGGCACAAATATTTCTTCGAAACAACTCAATAAAGATGCATTAACGTATTCCAATGTTGTGCTGTGTAATTATTTTTTAAGGATGATAACCGACGGAAAAAAATTAGCAAATTGTTTCTCTCAATATCTTTTACGCATATGAAAAATTTGGCGATTATGTTCAAGTTAAAATTTTATTTTCATAACTAAGATGGTGTTCCTACCTACAATGCAATAACACAAATTTTGCCCCTCAAGAACAACAAATCTATAAGAGTGTATTTTTATGACTAAAGAAACGATAGCAAACACTGATAGACTGAAAAAGAAGGATGGACAAATCGAAAAAATAAATCTACATACAGCACAATGCACAAATTCAATCAGTAAAATTATGTGACGCGACTTTTCATAATAATATTGTACCATCTGTCATCGAACTAAAAATAAACAATTTTTACCGTCCAACCAACTGCTTGGAGGTTAATTTGAAGATAATATCCAACGGTTGAAATGATAGGCACAATGACAAGACCACCAATTGTGAAAACCAATGTGTAGAAAAATATTATTACTCAGTACGTAGTAAACAAATTGGAAGATGGTCGATCTTTTCTTCCAACCTCCACCAAAATCATATCATAATAATAGTTTCAGTGCTGATGATGGAATTGACCATTTTGCATATATCTTAACTAATCCAATCAAGCTTTGTTACAGTACATAATAAGTCGTCAGCAATTAATAATATTGGTGTTACAAATTATTCTTTTTTGTTTTCATTTCAAGAAGTTGTTGATATGCAGCAAGTCACTTTCTGCTTTGTTTCTCTTTCGGGGGTTTTGTTTCTCACATTGTTGCTTATTATTATTATTATGAAGATTTTTTTTTTTTTTGTGGAGCATCCAAACTGCAGGCTTGTTGGGAACAATTACAACATCACATATCTTACCACCTTTTTTATACATGCATTTTAAACAACAAATTTGTAGAGAATATGATCTTGTTAATGACGAAACTGTGCTATAGTTGTTGCAGAATCCTAGTTTAGGATTGAACTATAACGGAATACATCCTTGTTACTTATAAATTTGTTTGAAAATGTAGCGGTACAAAATGAATTTGTACCATAATGTGAGGTAAAAAAAATCATAAACGAATAAGTAAACAATAAATAAAAATATGAAAACAATTATATAGTGATATGGATAACAAAAGATCTTGTTGTCGAAGTTAAGCGAATACATAAATGTTACCATAATGGGGTATGCATCACGTGGTCACTTCATGTCGATTGCATCTGTATTTTCCAATAATGAGAGATTATCTTATTGTCGAAATATGATAAACCATTTACACTATGACTGCCTCCGACTCTATTACGGTGACAAATCATCCAAAGCATACCATCTGAATATCATAGAGAATTGTCAGGAAAAAAAAATCATAGAGAGATGGTATCCTCCCCAATGGTAATTAACTGCAAAATTTGAATAAAACAAATTTACTCAACCAACTCTTAATTAGATGCTTAAAATGACACCAAACAAGCTAGCTAGGAATGGCAACACTGTTACCATATGGTCCCCAAATTTTAGCTGTTTCTCTCCATCCATCTTTCATTTTCCTTTTTTTTTTCTGATCTTCTGGGCTCCCACTCTGGAGAGCTCAACAAACCTATCCATGAATGATGATTGATTTTGCTGTTGACAGAGAAGAAGAAGATTAAACTGCATGGATATATATGCACACGTGCAGCTGCAGCCAGCTACATCCGAAATTAAATCACTCAACCAAAAGAACAGCCAATTTTGCCAAGGGACTCTGCAAATCTCTGTTTCAGGTGTTTTCCTTTCTGCCCCATGTCCATCCATATTCAGTTACGTTTTGTGTTGATTATTAAGTAGCTATTAACAACTCAAAATTTTATCCAAAAAGAGCCAAATTTTGATGTAATGTTGCTCTTTTGTTGTAGAAGGTATACTGCAAACGGACTATTTACTTCTACCTAACTTGTTATTGGAACTGAATTGACAATAGTAATAGTTACAATTTATACTTTGCTCTCAGTAAAAAGTATTTCATATAGGTAAAACAGCTTAACAGTCATTCGGTTGACGAATTCTAATGGATAAATTTGACTTCATTATTTCAATATGAGAAAATAACGTGAAAATAGACCCACTTGGCAGCTTAAAAGGAGCAATTTTTGTCCGGAGAATTTCGAATTTACTCATTTTGAAGTAATTACAATTTTATGAGATGTGACATATAATTCGAATTAACTCATTTTTGTAAAATGAGAAAATTGATCATATTATTGTTGGTGGATCGAGCGCGAGATTCTCTCCTGCTTCTCTCGAAGGAAACCCTAATTTGGTTCTGCGAAAATCAAATTGGGAATGGTTGAAGTCGATAGCAAAACGTCAGTGACAAAATAACAAAAGAAACAATTACTGAATTGAATGGGCCCGAAATAATGTAAACGAGAAATGGGCTCCAGCCCGCGTCAGGCCCGCTGTTTGATTCCAAGCCCGCTCCTTGTTTCTTTAATCAGATGAACTCTGGTTCAACCCTGTGCTTCGACTGCCTCCTCTGTTCATCCAAGGTGCCTGCAAAACAGAGTAACCAACTACACCAAGCAACTTTAAGCGAGATTAAATTGACACTGCGAGAACACGATTTTTACGTGGTATCCGGTACTATTTGATTTAGTACCGACTAATCCACGGTCGAAGTAACTCAATCGAGACCTTCGACGTTCCACTATGATCACGACAGCCGAACCCTTTACAGTCAATCTCCTGGCAACTCTCCGTCACCGATCAGACTCAGAAATAGTTCACTCCCCGCAAACCTAATCAAGAATACCCGCTATTCTACCAGCAATTTCCCCAACTGCTACTGACTCTTCCCTTCTCACTCTATCTCTCAACACGAGTACTTTCTTTTGTGCTTGCAAAGACAGAGTCTGAAAAAGTGCTCTGTCCATGAAGTTACAATTAGCTAAATAGTCTAATTCTGACGACCGTTGTCCCGTGATCTCCTCTTGAATAGTCCGATCTTCCTTTCTTGATTTTCACACACTTTCCTAGTCAGGATGATTTCAACCGTTGCTCAAAACTTTCCTTCTTCGCATAAGAATTTACAGTTGGCATGACCGAGCATTGACAAGCTTCTCACAACATACTCCCCCTAAGCTAGTCAATGGCTCCCATCGCTGTGTAGTCTTCCTGCACACACTCAGCAAACGTTTGGTGCAGTCTGTTCTCATGAAATAAATGAAACACTCGAAAGGAACATTTTTATTTTATTTCATAAAACATAACATTCAACTGACACTTGACCTAAGCAAAAAGGAAGAACATTCAAGCAACAACCAAACACTGCAGATCTAATCAACCAAGACAACTCCCCCTGAGACGAACACTTCCTATCAAGATCTAGAATGGATAACTGGGAGGTGAATCGTAGTCCGAGATATCGTCGTCAGTTTCAGAATCCGAGGACATGGGATCAAAATCTTCAGGAGCAGGTACTGCCTCATCCTCTAGCTCCCTTTGTGGAGACTGCATGAGCTCCAGTCGCTCTTTGCACAGCAACAACCCGAGCGATGCTCTGGTTAGACCATCCTGACTCGATTCAGCCTCTTTAGTCCTAACTACTTCAGTATTGATGGCTGAAACAGCTGCCTTGAGTAGTGCAGGCAACAGTGCGAGAGAGTCTCCAAGCGGAGCAGGAAACTCACCAGCTCCTCCCCCTGAGCCAGTGACGAGCTTCCGACGACCAACGTCAGCGTCCAGACGATTGAGAATGTGATTCGGACGGAGATCCTCATGGATGTTGCAGATGGTTACCTTGTCACGC